TTTTTTTTTTTTTAATTTTGAGACAGGGTCTCATTAGGTTGTTTATATCCTCACTAAATTGCTGATACTGGCTTTGAACCTGCGATCCTCCTGCTTCAGCCGCCAGAACTGTTGTGATCACAGGTGTGCACTACTGTTCCCAGCCCTGCCTTCTTGAACAGGACAAATGGGGTCTTTTAATGCTGGGATAATATGGAAAGAACCAGCCTTGCTTTGCCATCGTGTCGTGGTCAATCCTTGTGCTACAAGAAGGGGAATTGGTAGCAAACTCTGGATTAAATCCCAGTTCTGTCACTTTCTGGCTGTGTAACCTGGGACCAGTCATCTCCTTTCTGTGCCTCATGTGTTCCTTGCACAATGGGGACAAAATGAGACAGCATGTGTAACATACTTAGTGGCTGCCTGGTCTGTCATGTGTGCTCAGTAAATTCCAGAAAAACACAAACAAACAACTAGCTGAAGGCCTGGCTGCTCTGCCCTTAGAGGCCTTTTCTGTGTTGAGTCTGCCATTGCAACATCCCCACAAACATCGCTTGCCCTTCTGATGGGGTGACTCACTCGGCAGGGGGATCCCTCAAGGAAGGGCCTGATCTACCTCTGGGTCTGGAGCAGCCAGCCCAGGGCAGCATGGGCTAGCTCTTAATGACTGCTGCCCTCATCAAAGGCCTGCATGCTTGATGTAGGTATAGGGCTCTATGACCTCCATGCTGTCTCCTCTGTAGACAACAGCTGTCACTTGTCACCTGCCACCATGCAGGCTGGATGCTCCTCATCCCCTAATCAACCCTGGATATTTTTACTGACATCTTTACTTCCTGTGGGCTACCCATCTCCCTCCTATACTGGCCCTCACTCGTACTGAGTGCTCCATGGGGACAGGTAGGGGGGGCAACAAGTTGACAGCCGGAACTCGAAAGCACCCCCTATGTGCTAGATGCCCTTGGAATGACTGAAACCCTCTCCACCATCCTGAAAGGTGAGCAATATTTTCTGCTCACCACCATGAGCCCCGTGAGACGACCTAGCAGAGAGACAGGCATATTTCCAAAGTCACAAAGCAAGAAGTGATGGGCTCGGCATTCAAATCCAGGCAGTGGGGATCCAGAGCCTGCCTAGCTTCTAGGCTCAGGCTCCTCTTCACTCTGGAGCCCTGGGTGGCCTGTCTTTTTGCCTTTTCCTTCAAACTCCAACCAGGTGGTCCCAGGCCATGAGACCTACCAGAGGGGAGGGAGCAGGGGTGTAGTCCTGACTTAGGCTCTTCCCTACTTCCCCCTCCCCAGGCAAACAAAGCCCAGGGTCTCTCTCCTGAGTGGGGATTTCCCAAAGTGCCAGGCTCATTTCCTGGAGGTGGACTAAAGAACAAATAAATCAGAGACCCAGAAACTGAAACAGAGGGGAGCAGGGTAGATTCATCGGGTGGCAATTGGAATACAGTGAAGAAAGAACCAGAAAGAGAGAGAAGCTATGGCGAGACAGGCAAAATACGAGATGAGGGAGGAGAAAAGGAAGACCCCTGATAACAAAAAAGACCCTCATGGGCAGGGGTGGTGGCTCAGCGGCAGAGCACTTGCCTAGCAGGTGTGAGGAACTAGGTTTGATCCTCAGCACCACATAAAAATGAAATAAAATAAATAAAGATATTGTGTCCATCTTAAAAAAACTTAACAATAAAATAAAGGTATTATGTCCATCTATGACTAAAACAAATTAAGAAAAATAAAACAGACCCTGGAGGTCAGGGACTGGGGATGAGAAAGAAGAAATTCAGAGGGACAGAGAGAGAGAAATGTAGGAGAAAAAGAGAGAAGAGATGAGAGGGAAACAAGACAGAGATGGAGACTCCGGCAGAGAATGAGAAGAGAGGGGCAGGGGCCCAGAGGGAATGTGGACATGGAGACCCTGTTCAGGGTAGTGGAGGGGGCGGGCCTGTTGGCAGCAGCAGAGACTGTTTCCGCTGCACCCCTTATCAGCCTTCTGCCAGATGTTCAGATCCGATGCCAATGTCAGAGAAGTCCATAGTGCTGGGTCAAGGCCGGGGCCAGCGGGAGCCTCAGCTGCAGTGTGGGGAGGGAGGCGGGGGCCTGCCCTAGACCTGCTTGCTCTTCCCCCTCCTCCTCCTGGCTCTCCAGGCTGGACCACCTGGTTGGGGGTGGGAGATACCAGGTACCTCTGGGGGTTACTTCTCTAGACTGAGAACGGGCCCCCGTGGAGGCTGCATGGGGCTCCTCGCAACATGTGGACACATATACCTCTACACAGACTCATGCTTGAGGAAGCATGTGGACATAGGCCCACAGACACTCGCACAGGAGCACAGGAGCACACAATACCACATGGGGACAATTCACATTCCAGTGCAGAGCTGCACCCCCTCCCAGCATGACTCTACAGCCTGCTGCTCTCCCTGCTGTGCTTGGTCAGCATGGTGTCCTCCACCCTTGTCTCCTCACCCAAGCCAAGATTGTGAGGAGCCAGGCAAGAGCCTCTCTGTAGCTGGCACTGCTTCTGGGACCTGCTTTGCTCTTCTATGAACGGGCATGCTCAGAACCTGCACACCCTCAAAGGCAGGTCCAAGGGACCTGAGACCTTTTAGAATGAGGCCTGGTGGAGCCCCCAGGGGAGAAGCAGGTGTGGGCCGTCTGGCAGGGCTGGGCTCCAGCCTTGGGCCTCCCCGCCAGGCTCCTGGAGCGTGCAGCACAGCTGGGGCCCTCTTCCTTGGGTAGCTTATCTCATGTGCACACGCTTGGCCCTCAAGGGGTGACCCAGCCTTGCTCCCCACATTCTTGTTCAGCCACGCAGCCGGTGGGCCCCCCACATCCCTGAGACTGTGTCTGTACTTGGGGGGTGGTCAGGAGCCACCATTCAGAGTCATGTCCCTGCCCTCTTGGCCCCGGCCCCTTGTAGAGGTGGCTCTGGTATCTCTTCACTGTCTCTAATTTTGTCTCTGTCACGATGGCTCAGTCACTGTTTATTTCTGCATATCTCTCTTAGATTGTCCCAATTCCTCTCTTTCTGCTACATTCAGTCATTTAGCTCTTTCTCTTTGCTCTTAGGGTCCACTCAGGAAAGTGGAGGCCTGTCATGGGAGAACTGGGGTGGCTGGGGCAACATAAACTCAGGGCCCCTCCCACCCACCTGCTAGGAGTTGGCCTGGATAAGGATGTGGATCGGGATCTGGAGCTGGTGGACTCCCCCATATAGCAGAGGACTGGGTAGGGGGAGGCAGGGGGAGGAAGCTGGAGCTGGAGGTCTTGGCCTAAGAGCCTCCTTCCTGTTTGTGGGGAAGTGAC